AACAATCACATTAATTATTGAATAAAATTACATTATTTAAATTATAGAAATAGAATTGTAGAAAACGTATGACATTATTCCCAAAGGAGTTAATATATCTTTAACCGGTAAATATATTTAAAAACATGTTTTGAAACTCTTTTCCCATTTCAGATCTTATACACACAACATTACAGATCCCCACAACATATAATGTACTGCATATGCATTTTTAATCACAATTCATCAATGAATAATGTGATTTATAAAATTTTGAGTTTTACACTTGGCCTTACTACTCCAAGTACTGTACCTATTAGTACATGGTTGGAATTGAAAATTATATAACAATATAAATAGAATATACTGTAGTTAAAGTTACATACAGTACTGTATATGTATAAATGAAATGAAACAATAATAGTACCTTATTAATGTTGAAATGTTGACTGTATCTATTCGGATCGGATGGCAAATAATCGATGATTAAAATGTTTGATGTGTTCAGTGATGACATATTATTTGCTGCCGAACGGCAACCGTGTGTTATATTTGATTCAAATGAATAGCTTTTAAAATACAGATTCAAATGTTGTCTCACTTTTTCATCTCTAATCCATTCCATGTTTTCATCATTTAATAAACCAGTCATTGCGAGCGAAGACGTTATTATTATCAAATATTTGTCTAATTGTTTTTTTATTAAGTGTTAGTCTTATAAATCATTTCATCGACTACTCTATTTAATTTAATTTATTGTGAAATTATTTGTTACACAATATTATTATGTTACTAATAAATATTAAAGAATATGAGAAAATCAATTAATATATTAAGATAATATTAATAACTTTTAATATAATATGGATCATAAATATTAATACTAGAACTGACGCATTATTACAATTATTACATTATTGTATTATAGCATTATTGTAAATCATATGATTTGTAATCATTAAAAGTATCCCTAGCCATAGACTCTAATGTTAAAACTTATTCATTGATAGTATTTCATAGCATTTGATATGAAAATCACAAAAATGAATGTTTATAAGTAAGAAATTTGCCAATTGTTAATGCATAATTTGCATTATTATAGCTCATACGCAGCATATACGACCCAAATGGTAAAAATTGTAAATTAAAAATTTCGTTGTTTTTTAAATTATTTAATAACATTTAATTTTACAGTAAATAACAATAAATATTCTTAACTTTCTTGATAGTATTAAATCTAGCTTTGTTACATAATATGTTACGTATTATATGTTATCTTTTCTAATATAAAAATATTTGTCATTAAATATGTTGTTCTGATTTAGAATTTACACGGCATTAATTCTAGGTCATTTACATCTTTTGACCATATTAAAACATTGAATATAAACGTATGAAATCTATAGATTAAAATATTTTCTAATTATATGCTTTTTAATTACAATAAAAGCTTTTATGTAAATTATCGAATGTTATGCAAATCAAATATATTTATTGATCAATTGTAAACTCGATATAATATGGAGATATTCATTTTTCATCATTATCATATATTTTTAAAATAATGCCTAAAAACGGGAGTATACATGTATAATGAGCAAAGTCGATTTATATATGGACTTATTTTTGAAAATTATGGATGGATTTATGGACATAAAAATGCCAAAATATGGACTTATATATGGAGTTTCAAAATTGATTTTATCAATCTAAAATTGATAATCATATCAATTTATAGTAAAATAATTAGTCAATAAATGACATTTTTCGTTTATCACACAATATATCCATATATTTTTTAAAAATTGTAATACAGTATTGTTTAATCGATTGTATGGATTGTACTGATTTGATGCACCCAACTAATAAATCACGTTGTGTGAATTAATAATACAGGGAAATAAATTTTTGAAAAAATTATTTATAGCTATTTTACAATATTCAAAAAATAAATAATTGTAATTTTTATGTTAAATTGTGACGAGATTTGTATAAAATTAAGCGATTTTGAGCTATTTTTGTGTATTTTACCCAAAATATCCAATATATGGACATATTTATGGACATATAGAGTTTGATGCACAATATGGAGTTTTATGGAACATAAATGTGGTCTCAAAAAACTTCTTATTTCATGATCGGTGGAGATCTTTCAATTTCCAAGCGATTAGAATTAACACAAAAAACATGGATTTCCATAATTCAACTGTCTCTGATAATGAGCTCGAAAGTCATTAATTAATATTACGAAAAATGGGTTTTAAAAAATGAATATTGTAATTTAAATTAAAAATATTATAAATATTAATATCATTTGGATTATAACAATAATTTCTATTAAACATGCTATCGTTTATTGAAATCACTAGACTTTGGATTAAATAGGGATAAAAATATTTAAATTTTTGTACTTTTTTAACAAACTTTTTAAGAAAACTGTAAATATATAGAATTTTGATCACAAATGAATTGTTAATTAAATACAAAATAATGTTACATATATTTATTGAAAAATAAACTACAATTGAATTGTACCTAAAGTTTGTCGATATTCTCGTTAATAAGTTGTCACTTGAGTTGTCTAATGAGTGTGAATGAGTCAACAGATGGCGCATAACGTATACAATGTTTGTGTTTATCATATGATGTATTCATACATTCAATTGTGTTTGTGTTGTATATGTTATGTAATGTCCGCTCATTATAACCATTATAATGATTATTAGACTATAATTACGGCAATTAATGAGTGAATACATTATATAGCAGTCATTGCAGTAAACATATAGACGTGATGTTTAGCGCAATCAATGAATAAGTGATAAACAATCTTAACATTGAAATCAATACAAACCCTACAAACCAGTGTCTGAATGGCCACACCATTAGACATCTCCCGACGAAACCCACAACAAGAGTATGATTTGATCCAAAGGGTTGGTTCGGGCACTTATGGCGACGTCTATAAGGTATGCATATATGCAGACATTGCACACTATCTGCGCTAACAGTGACTAACAGTGCTTTGATTGACTCATTTGACTGATAGGCGCGTCGGTTGAGTGACGGGGAGTCGGCGGCCATCAAGATCATAAAGCTAGAGCCGGGCGACGACTTCACGATCATTCAACAGGAGATCCTTATGATGAAAGGCTGTCGTCACCCAAATGTGGTCGCGTTCTTCGGCTCATACCTCAGACGCGACAAACTCTGGATATGTATGGAGTTCTGCGGCGGCGGATCTCTTCAGGACATATACCACTGCACCGGACCGTTGAGTGAGCCTCAGATCGCATACGTGTGTCGGGAGACGTTGGCCGGTATCCTATACCTGCACTCTATGGGCAAAATGCATCGCGACATCAAAGGGGCCAACATTTTGCTCACCGATGAGGGAGACGTGAAACTGGCCGACTTCGGGGTCTCGGCTCAGATCACTGCCACTATCAATAAACGCAAGTCTTTCATTGGCACTCCATATTGGATGGCACCCGAAGTGGCGGCCGTTGAGCGCAAGGGCGGGTACAACCATCAGTGCGACATCTGGGCCGTCGGCATCACTGCCATCGAGTTGGCCGAACTCCAGCCCCCGATGTTTGACTTACACCCGATGCGGGCCCTCTTCCTGATGTCCAAGTCTGGCTTCAAACCGCCTCAACTCAAGGACAAGAGCCGGTGGTCACAGAACTTCCATCACTTCGTCAAAGTGTCGCTCACGAAGAATCCCAAGAAGAGGCCGTCGGCCGAACGCCTCCTCCTTCACCCGTTTGTGCATCAGTCAGACCTCACCCGCAGACTAATGCGTGAGTTGTTGGAAAAGGTGTCAAGTCTTGAGCACTTCAATGGCCACGAGTTGGACGCCGACGACGAACTCGTGTATGACGTCCCGCAACGCATATCATCGAAGCGATCGGTTCGCTCACACATTAAGACCCGATCGGAACTCCATATGGAAAGCATTAACTTTGAGACTCCATTAGTGACCCAACTGTCGACGCAATTGTCGAGTGCCACCGAACAGGAGTCCATCCAAATGCCCACCGATGTGTCACTGGCCTGGGGTATAGGGGGTATAGGCTCTCAGCACAACACCGCTCTCTCGCACGACACGGACACTGACGTCGACCGCGAACTCCGGCGACGATCTCTACTCGAAATGGTTGACGAAGAGCTCCTACATCTCGGACATCAGGACAGTCTTCAGGCCATCGACAAGACACTGCGTCTCTACTCATCGCAACAAACTCTTCCAATAGAACCGTTCACTTCTTCGCTGAGACACCAATTATTAGGCAATGAATTGAATGCAATCGAGTTGTTGCACATCGACGACGACGAGTACTCCACCCCTCCCTCCACTCCTAAAGTTAATGGCAATAATATTAGTGAAGTGAGCGATCAAAGCGATGAAACTGCGTTATCAGCCAATGGACAGCCAAACGCGGCCAACAATGGGACCAACAATGGCTCAATGGCTAGCAATGAATCGAGTGGTAGCGACGAGACTCAACCCCCTTTAGCGCCGCCTCGGCGTCGAGATCGGCACAAGAGAGTGAGTTCAGTGCAGGACTCGCCGGGCACTGCGGTGAATGGTCTGCCGCCCACCCCGAAAGTGCACATGGGCGCTTGTTTCTCCAAAGTGTTCAACGAGTGCCCGCTTCGCATCAACTGTTGTGCCTCTTGGATACATCCCGACACTCACGACCAGCACATACTGTTGGGCTGCGACGAAGGCATATACGACCTCAACCTTAATGAACTACACGACGCCACCATTGATCAGTTATATCCGCGTAAAACCATTTGGCTGTTTGTCATCAAAAATGTGTTGATGTCTGTGTCGGGCAAAGCTTCATATCTCTATAGACACGACTTACTGTCCCTCCACTCCAAGAAGAACATCTCATTCGGACTTCCGGTCGATTCGATGATCAATAAAATACCCGAACGACTGATGCCTCGGAAGTTCATCGCAACGAACAAAGTGTCGGACACTAAGGGGTGTGTGAAGTGTTGTGTCGGACGGAACCCATACAACGGGTATAAGTATTTATGCGGCGCCACTCCTAACGGCATATTTCTTATGCAATGGTATAACCCGTTAAATAAGTTTATGTTTTTGAAACAGTTTGAGTTATATTTGCCATCAAAACTACACGTGTTTGAAATGATAATAACACCCGATTTAGAGTATCCTATGCTTTGTATTGGAGTGAAGAGGGGTTACGACACAACACAAGAGCACTTACAACTAGATATGATTAACTTAAACTCTACTACCAATTGGTTTAATGATGGATACGGTGACCATTTGGGTGACGGCACCGAAACCGTCATTCCCAGACACCAACACTCCCTCGACATCAAAGCCGTCACTCAATTAGAAAAGGATACGATTCTTGTTTGTCACGACTCGGAGGTGAAGTTAGTGTCACTTCAGGGCCAACTCAAGTCCAGTCGCCGACAACCGGCACGACTCCACTTCGACTTCTCCGTCGAGTCGATTGTCTGTTTGACGGACTCTGTGCTGGCCTTCCACTCACACGGAATGCAAGGCCGCTCTTTCAAGAACAATGAGGTCGTCCAAGAGATCAATGACCAGAGCCGACACTTTCGACTCCTGGGCTTCGATCGCATCGTTGTGCTCGAGTCCAGACCCACCGATCAACCCAACGCTCCCTCCAATCTATATATACTCGCCGGTCATGAGAATAGTTATTAATTATATTGCAGTTCACTTATCATTACAATTATAATAAAATTATTGATAGTTATTATTATTATTATTATTAAATCTAACAAAACACTCTTTAGACTCGATTACAGATTATTTTTCTATTTATTGAAATTTATAAATTTAAAACAAATACCAATCAAATTTTATTTAATTTATTTCAACTATCCATAATTATTCTCTATTGATTTAATTTCTCAAATTAGTTAAACGCTAAAACCAGTTAATAATAACTAATTTATATATGTAATATTTATTATTTTATTATAATTATTTGTTTTATCAATTTATTTATGATTTATTTCAAAGGAATTGAGTTTGAGTTTTAATTTCTACATTACTGTACAGTATTGTATAAAAATAATATTGATATTACATTTGTATTCATAGCTATATTTATTGTATTTGTTTGACAATAAATATTAATTAATCAATTTATTAGATGATGCCAATTAAATGTTTATTTACTTCAATCTTAAATTAAAACCAATCGATCGATCGATTCTGATGATCATCAGTTTTGATAACATTAATCAATTTGTTAATCAATGTGGAGTGCAATCAATTGAATTCATATTTCATTCATAAGGATAGTAGACACTTGTGTGAAATACGTTTCATCCAAGTTCACTTGTTTCTCAAAACAACTTCAATATATGTGTTCTCAAAATTATCACATTTCGAGTCGTTCAAAGTAAACTACAGATTGTACTTGTCCGATTTTAGTAATTCTTTTTTTAAACATTTCTTAGGATGACCTGATGTCCAGGAATACAGGATTCTCTTTAATTAATCTAGCCACCCTATTAACAATATTTATTTGTTCACAACTTCGTAATTTTACACAACATAAATTTAGAATAATGAGAGAGAGAGAGAGAGAGAGAGAGAGAAAGAGAGAGAGAGATAATCAATTGCTGACTAACAATGAGTTTTTATTTCAACAATGAGCCTAATTTTGTAAGATATAGTCCAATATGTAATTTAATACATACAGTATATCTAAATTAACAACACCTAAATATATGTGACATTGTTTTGATAAAATGCCTTTTCATTGCGATTATTTACTTAATTGAAAAGAACTTTTTGATTAATATTTAGTATTGACCACATTTATAATAAATATCAAAAAATAATATTAAATATTAGGTCTTCGAAAATCGATTACTTTAACTTTAAATATATTACAAATTATAAGCAATATTTATGCCTATGTATATCTTTTTTAACAAAACTATACGCCAAAACTATCATCAACTAAAATAAACAAGTTGATATTAATTTATGCTTTGTTAAGTTGTTTTGTTTGTTAATTATTAAAAAATCTTCCTTATATTACAATATAAATTATATTTGCGATAGATCTAAATATTAGTAAAAATCAATAAAAATGTTTAAAAATTATAAGATTTAATTTATATTTGTGGTAAACACAAGCTTTTATTTGTAAAACAATCTAATGTACAATACCTTCACCAGTCATAAGCCAAATGCTTAATCAATGATCAGTTGAATATTGTTTGATTAGTGATATGAATGTCTTAGTGATTATCAATATCTGTACATTTCAACATTATCCCAACATTTATCTTTAAAGTGATACATCAGTAGTATATAAAAGTCTTACGTGTCGTGTCTTTTGTTTTAATTTTATTTCAATATTTTGTTAATTTATATCTTCTCTATTCATTTTATGCAATTTAAATATGATTTTAATAAATAGTATATAAATTGTCTTTTGATCTAATGATTGATGAAGTGATGAAAAATCGAAATTCATTGTTAACTTTAATATTGTTTGTTAGTTTCGGTTTATTTCTATTTTTAATTACTAATAATGACTTAAAATATACCAAAAATAATTTGCATACATTTTATGGACATTACATCGCAAAGGATCCCACATTAAGTAAGATATCCTTAATATTATCCAAAGTTATTTATAGTTTATTTTTATTTTAATTTTAATGTAATGTTTTGATAAAAAAATATTCTCAATTCACAATGCAAATTATAATAACAATTTAATGTTATTTGGACATAGTTTTCAAACATAGTATATTTAGTATAATAAATAAATCCCTTATATTAATATATTATTTATTTAAAAATTCAAACTTATTTATTCATTTGATAAAATACATATTACTATTATATACTGTATTTGCCTTTTTTTGTTAATAGATAACAAACAACCAACACAATATAACATAGTTTAAACATTAATTAAATCATAAATATATAAATATTACATGAAATACAAATATTTAATACAAATTAAACATGTAGAATAAGTAAACATAATTAAATACAATGAACATGAAATGTTAGTGATTGTATTGTGGTCAAATAATAACAATTTCTATATAAAGTAATTATTTATCGAAAAGATTATCGATTGTAAAATATCTTTTGTATCGAAAACCTTCATCATTGATAAGACATGCCTTATATAGTTTAGCCGTCGATTCAAACGCCACTCCAGCGGCCGCTACAAAGTTCTCAATCCCTGTAATGAATCGATTATAAATTGTCATTTTATTTAATAAGATTATAATTTTACAAAATAAGTTATTTTTCAGTTATATGTGATTTATTTACAAGAACTTAATTTTCAGTAAATAGTTATAAAACTGTTTGAAAATAAATAATAAATACCTCCAGATTTATGGACTCCATCTCTCAGATATTTACATACAGTTTTTGATGGCTTTAGTTTTGTATCAATTGATGAACAATAAGTTATACTGAATAGAAAGGAAAGGCTTAATATAATTGACAAATACATTGAGATTTTATTCGTAGTGAATTCTCTACTCATTGCACCTCAAATATGTCTAATATATCAAAATACACACCAATATAAAGAGATAAAGTGGGCGATAGTATAGCTCATACAGTTATACAGTTATAGCGCATCTTTACTCTTCTTTCCTCTTTTAAATATTTTTAAAAAATGTTTTTCGACTTATTTTCTAATATTGATGAAAGAATATTTATCTCATACTCTCGACTCATTTTATAAAAACATAAAATTATCATTTTAATAAAATCCACTAAGTTATTATTTCCTTATTTGGAAATAATTAATATTTGTAAAATTATCAATTACTTTATATTTGTATATTTATAAACATATTAACCAATTAATGTACAAATTAACATATAAAGGCATTTAGTATTTTATATCAAAAGTTGTTTGTTATCAATATTCCACACTCACTCAATCTCATGTCCATCTCCTTTGGG